TGCGTCCATTATATTCCTTCAAATTACCTGCTTCTTTCAGCCTTGGGCAATAACCATTGGCTAAATTTTGATGCCAGCTGTTAACAAGCTGTGAAGTTATGTTTATACCAAGTCATTCACGATGTTCCCAACCATGACAATTTCCTAAAGCTTTTGCTGTAGATAGTGACTGATGATTGCCTAAATTTGTTTACACAAGAATTGGGATTTGTTCTAAAATCTGAGCAGAGGGAAGCTTTGGAGTCGCTTCTTAGGGAAAAGGATGTTTTTGTGTCCTACCAACAGGCTTTGGCTATTTTCAATTGTAATGATGATCCATACTCCGTTGGCGTGTTCAGTTTCTCTCTAATTGGCAAAAGCATCGTGGCACAGTTTCAAACCTTTGTTCTTTATTGTGGAGAAAGATTGTCGTTCATCGAGGGCAACGAAAAATTCGTTTTTCAGAAGGTTGACCAACTTTGAAAATGTTTAACCTTTTTGTAGTGGAGACAACAAACAAATATTTTCAGAGCTCATCCTGTCACTCTTAAAATTGCCAAATTGTGTTTTTAAACAACGGCCGCACATTCTACAAATTATCTCAAGTGCTTGGCTCTCTCAGCTTTCTCCTTTAAGGAGCAGGCACAGCCTTTGTCGGGGTACTGTCACTTCCACTCATTTTTAATCTTCTACAAACCACTACTTTGCATAGAAAAACAACAGTAAGGAATGCTTTGGAAATATGGTTAGCACAATGATTAATGTGTTCAATCCGCTAAATTCAGAATTATAACTAATAAAGAACAAACTTTTTCAATGCATCCTATTTTAGCAATAAGGACAGAAGACAAGAGTCAGAGGACATTGGTTCTCAATGTGATACCGAATCTAAAAGAAAATGGTAGCATTAGCGAAGTAAGATCAAGTGCTTTTAAACTTTTTATCATATAAGGATAAAAGTAGTTCTAAAGAAACGTGTTTGTTTCAAAGTTCAGATTCCCAGTTACACTAGCTTTAGTTACACAAACTACAATAAAATGTATTAACCAATTCTCTGGGAATTGACTCCCAACAGCTATTTGGGGAAGGAAGTGGAATCTTCCTGCACTTTTCCAAGTGATACTGCAAAAAAAATATATTTATCATTTTGCATTTAACTTAAGTTCCTGTCAATTTTCTTTAGGCCATTGTATGCCCGAGAGACATTTAGACCCGATAATGCACCCATTTTGCATAGTTATTATCAAATGCTTCTGTGAGGAATGCATATTCATAGGAGCAGACCCTCACTCCCCGCCCCCTTCACAGCATACTAGTGTGGGTCGAAGAAGTCAACATTTATGTGGCTGGGATCCTTCGATGAGTTGAAAAACTTTTGCTTCAAACGTTTAGAAATGGATTCTACCATGTGCTCCATAACTCAAACCCAGCAAAGAAAATCGATAAAAGCAAAATCTTTGACAGTGAATTATGACAAGACTGGGACATTACAACTTCAAAGATGCAACCCTCAATCAGCAAAGGATAAACTTCGAGCAGCTATGGACATTGGTCAAACCAACTGTGAGGGTTTCTTACTCTTGGTATGAAAGATAAAAAATAGTGCATAACCAACAGGGAATTAAATAACAGCAAATCATTTGTAAATTAACCATCTGCTAGTAGTAACATCAAGAGCATTTAAGGTACTTTCTTGAAAGAAGGTAAGGCAAAAATTTTCAATGTAGCAGCTTTGCTTGTTGCTATTATGTTCACACTACTTGTCATCTGTGACCGCACGCATACAACAAAATGCTTCTAATCATCAACGATGGAAACAACTACCAAAAAGCTTGGTGAGTGAAGTCCATTCTCCGACAACCCTGGCCATAAGGATGCTATTACCTCGCCATCAAACCCATTCTCTGGAAGCACTGCACAGTTTGGATAAAATATTCGCTTCCCAACACACAGTGTTCACGTTCCTGGCAATGCTTACCCGATAACTCGCCTATTTTGTGTTCGTAACTCTTCTTGACTCTAACAGACATTTCTGTTCACAAACATAGATTTTCGTATTCAGTATATGTTTTTTTATATTTACACTACTTTTGACAGCGCTTTGCTATGATGAAAATGGTGATAGGCTGCACACCATGACTAAGAAAGGCAAGCCCAAAAGTACACATGACGTGTGTGTTCTGTCCACTGGCAGGTCCGTTCTTATATTATTCAATCTAAGGCAAGCCTCTTGACCACTAAGTAAGGGCTGCCATCTTTTACTCTATCCAGCATTCCCACTCGAGGTCTTCCAGGTGGTCTCTTTCCTATTATTCTTCCCTCAATAGCTAATGGGACAAGATCAATATGCTGCTAGGTGTGACAAAGCCAGACTCTCTGTCTTCTATTGATAACAGATATGATGGCCCTCTGCTCACTTCTTCGTCAGACTTTGTCATACCAAGAAATGTTTCAGACCTTCCACCAAAGC